TGCTGCATGCACACTTTCATGCACCACCACGCCGAGCGATTCAAGATTGATCATTGTCAGTCTTCACTGTCGCCGGTGCCCGGCGACCACTGCGAGCGCTCCTTGATTCAGGAGCGACCAACAACTTCTTCCGCGCGTCGTGCTTGTCGGTACTCCCGTCGGACATCACTGTCCGCAAAGGTAGAGGGGAGGTCGCTGTCAAGTTGGCCGATGGGAAATCACGCCGCGTAGCGCGGCGCGAGATTACCCTTCCGTACACGTTCGACGGTTTCCGAAGCAACGACGACCTCCTCGTCATTGAGATGAATTACGCGTTTGACTGCATCCTGGGTATGCCGTGGCTGACGCGCTATCAACCAGAGATTGACTGGTTGGCCCGGTCGGTCAAGCGCCGCAGTGATTATGATGTGAGCGAAGTGTTCACGCACCTCCTGGTCGCCCAGAAGGATTGGCCTCACGTCACCGTCGTGGACCGGTCATCCACGACGCACGTTGTGCACAGAGTGAGCGATTGCCCTCTCTGCACGGCTTGCGCAGTGCTGTTAACTGACGAGTCCCCGCGGCGACGCGGGTATGAAGACCAACTGGCGGTCGAGCAGGAGCTCCCGCAGATGTACGAGACGGCGGTCGAGCAGGGGCTCCCGCAGACGAATGAGATGGCGGTCGAGCAGGGGCTCCCGCAGACGAACGAGATGGCGGTCGAGCAGGGGCTCCCGCAGACGAACGAGATGGCGGTCGAGCAGGGTCTCCCGCAGACGAACGAGATGGCGGTCGAGCAGGGTCTCCCGTCAATTGAGCCGGTGGTCGAGCAGTTGGCGCTCCCGCTGAACACTACCGCGGTCGAGCAGGGGCTCCCGCTAGAGGGGGGTGACATCTCGTCCAGCGAGAGCGACTCATCATCCTCGAGTTCGCACTCGAGGCGGCAAAAGAGGAAGTCGAAGCGGCGTCGGCTGAAACCTCGCCGAGAGCCCGTACCAAGTGACAGCTCACCGACGGAGTCGGTCTGCGTGCTTGAGTATGTGGAAGGTACCTCTGGCCGCCGACGAACACGCGAGCTTGCAAACCCGCCTGGCGAGGCAGGGTCGATCACTCGACTTCCAGGTCTCTCCTGGAAGAACTTCCCTCGCGGCCTCAAGGACGATGCAATCGAACAGGTTTGCCTGATCACCGACGCCGATTCGGCGTCGCCCGAAGTGAATGCAGTCAGTGACGGCGACGCTCCCTCGCGCCCAAAGAGCGCTGAGCCGAAGTCGGCCCGCGAGGAGCGCTTCGCAGCGCAGTCTTGGGACGCGCTACGCAAATCCGGCAATCCAGTCTACGAGACCGCCCGCGAATATGAAGATGTATTTCCGGATAAGATCCCAGCTGAGTTGCCAGCTGACCGAGGAATTCGCCACGAGATTGATCTCGTGCCCGGCTCGAAGTATTGTGTGACGCGGCAGTGGCCGCTCCCGCGAGATCAGGTCCAAGCTGTCGATGACTTCTTCGAGAGCCGCCGCAAGGCGGGTCATGTGCGTGAGAGCACATCGCCGCACTCCAGTCCGACCTTCTGTGTGAAGAAAGCCACGGGCGGATGGCGCATCGTCCATGCCTTCAACAAGCTAAACGACGCTACCATCCCTGCCCAGACGCCGATTCCTCGGAAGGACATGGTGCTCGACGCAATGTCGGGTAGTGAGGTCTTCAGCGCCATCGACTGACCGATGGGTCTACCAAATCCTCATGAGGCTGAGCGATATACCGCTCACAGCGGTAAGCACTCCCAGTGGTATGCTCTGGGAGTGGCTTGTATGCCGCAAGGGTTGAAGAATGCTCCCGCACGTTCAATCGCATGGTATCCCATGTGCTGCGCCGCTCCGCGACTTCGCACCGAGTTATTTCGATGACATCTTCGTACACAGTCGCGCTGAGAGAGGCCTCAGCGCGCTTGAAGTCCACTTGAAGCATCTGAGGCAAGTCTTCCAAGTGATGCGCGAAAACAAGCTGTATACCAACTTGAAGAAGTGTATATTCTGCGCGCCGGAGATTCCGGTGCTTGGCTGCTTTGTGAGCAAGAACGGCGTCCGCGCCGACCCCGAGAAAGTGTCGTCGATATGTGCGTGGCCTACGCCACAGAATCCCACTGAACTGCGTCAGTGGCTGGGTCTCGCAAATTATCTCCACAAGTACACGAAGAATTACGCCGGATTGATCCAGCCACTCTCTTCGTTGTTGAAGAAAGATGTGTCGTGGTCGTGGACTTCCGCACATCAAGCCGCCTTCGACTCGGTGAAGAAGAGTCTCGCCGAGGCCCCAATCCTCGCGCTCCCGGATGACTCGAAGCCTTTTCACGTCGTCTGCGACGCGAGCGATTTCGCCATCGGCTGTGCGCTGATGCAATTCGATGAAGAAGATCGAGAGCGTGTCGTAAGCTACCAGTCTAGGCAGATGAAGTCGGCGGAGCGCAACTACCCTGTTCACGACAAGGGGCTCCTTGCGATGCGCTACGCTCTGATCAAGTTCAGAGTGTACTTGTTGGGTGAGGATACCTTCGCAATGTACACCGATCATGCATCGCTGAGGACAGCGATGAAGAGTCCTCATCTCTCCCAGCGGATGGCCCGCTGGCTTTCGTTCTTCTCCGAGTACAACTTCGTTGTCCACTACAAACCCGGCAAGAACAACATTCTCGCCGACGCTTTGTCTCGGCGTCCCGACTACGACCCACGCGGTGCATTGGGTCGACAAGCTTCGCTGGATGAAGACGATGTAGACGAGTGTGCCACGTGCGAGGCGTCAGGCGTCAACCTGACGAGCGTCTCCCCGGTAATGCCACTTCGCGACGAGATCCGAGCTGCTTACGAACATGACTCGACGTGCTCCAGTATCCTGAAGCATCTCCGCTCTCCCAGCGCCGACACACTGGGAGCCCTTTTTCGCTCTGTACGAAACAAAATCCACCGATATCGTCTCGAGGACGAGCTGCTGGCGTACAGCATCGACAACTTCGATGCCCCACGTGTCGTTGTCCCTAACGACCCCGATCTGCGCTCACGGATTATCCATGAGTTTCATGATGCCCCGCTGGGCGCTCATCTCGGTCGCGAGAAGACATTTGCCGCTGTGTCACGCGACTTTTATTGGCCACACCTGTACAAATGGGTGCGTAAGTGGGTGCGTACCTGCGAGACCTGCCAGCGCATGAAACCTGCCTCGTCTTCGCAGGCTCCCTTGCGTCCTCTACCAGTGGCCACCGAGGCCTGGCGCTCGGTGTCGATGGACTTCATCTTCGGGCTCCCACCCGATGCTAAAGGACGATCAGGTGTCTTGGTATTCGTAGACCGCTTCAGCAAGATGGTTCACCTGATTCCGGTGTCGGATGCGATCACCGCGGTGCACTTCCTCGATGCTGTCTTCCGTCATCATGGCCTTCCCGAATCTATCGTCTCCGACCGCGACCCGCGCTTCACGTCGGCCTTCTGGTCAAAGCTCTTCGAGCTACTGGGCTCGAAGCTAATGATGTCCACAGCAGCCCATCCGGAAACGGACGGCCAGACGGAGCGCGTAAATCGCGTCCTCGAAGACGTCCTTCGAAGCTACGCGACGTCGTTCTCCAGCTGG